CATGCAGAAGGCAGCCAATCAATGATTCTCTCTCATCATTGATGTTTCTATCTCTCTCTCCCTCTCCCTTCCTCTCTGAAATCAATAAAATAATATTTTTAAAAAAAAGTCACGTGGAGTTGTTGGAAATGGGGGCACCTCACAGGAGCCATAGTTGAAAGTAATTCAGCCACAGGCAGAATAGCAAAGCTGGGGGCAATGAGAGAAATCAATATATTACCTCTCTCTCATCCCACTTTTCCGTATCGTAGTGGTACATCCCATTGGCCAACCCTACCTGGAATTCAGAGGACAAGAGAACCCAGGTGAGGCAGTTCATGAAGGTCAGATTCCCAGAACAAATGGTGAGATAGAGAAGGGGCAGTGAGCAGATTAGGGGAGCAAATGAAAAAACAAACAAACACAAATATAAAGTAAACAATGGAAAGAAAGTCCAGACTCAGGCTGTGAGGAATTCTATCATTTAGAAGTCAGGTAAAGGAGGAAGAGGAGACTGCAAAGGAAACTGAGATGGAGTGATTATAATAGATAGGAGAAAAGGAATGTAATGTCATGAAAACGTAAGAAACAATAGTCCAAGAAGGAGAAAGTAATCAATTATATTTAATAATCCTGAGAGAGTTTGTTGGACATTTTTTAAATAAATTTTGGTTTCATTTTGGCTACTCAGCATCTTAAGCCCATTTTTATGTTTAGAAATTTTTATATTTACTCTTTTTTAGTCTTGGCAGGAGACTATCTTCTACTACAGAAGTCAAAAATTTCTGTCCAGCCAGGGTGGCACAGCAGTTGAGTTTCAACCCATGAACCAAGATGTCATAGTTCAATTCCAGGTCAGGGCACATGCCCAGATTGCAGGCTCAATCCCTAGTAGAAGGTATTCAGGAGGCAGCAGATTAATGATTCTCCCTTATCATTGATGTTTCTATCCCTCTCTCCCTCTCCCTTCCTCTCTCTGAAATCAATAAAAACATTTTCTAAATGGTTAAGGGTGATAGAAAGAGGGTATTGGTAAAAGAAATGTTCAACTCCATTACAGAGAGTGAACATATCTTCCCAATGTAGGGTTAAAAACTAAACTACCATCTTTTCATTAATAATTTTAAACACACACACACACACACACACACACACACGCACCACACGTCCACACACTCCTCTATCACTTCCTTGCACTCTCACACTCTCTCCCTCCCTACCTTCCTGCCGGTTGCCATTTTTTTCCAATCAAAATATATTTAAAAAAAAATAGAATTGGCACTGGCTGGGGAGCTCAGTTGGTTTCAGCATCATCCTGCTACAGCAAGGTTGCAGGTTCGATCCCCAGTCAGAGCACATACAAGAATCAACCAATGAGTGTATAATAAATAGAACAACAAATCAATGTTTCTCTCTCTCATTTCTGCTCTCTCTCTCAAAAAATAAAATCAATAAAAATTTTTAAAAGAAACAGGATTGCTTTAAAAAAAGTAGAGGTGGTCTGAATTCTCCAGGCCTCTGGGGGGCCTTGAGCCCCACGGGGACCCTTGAGAGTGGCTGCCTGAGCAGAGATCTCTGCTTCCTTCCCTCTGATGAATTCTTAGTGAGAAGACCCCCTCTGGATCCTTTATGCCTCCTTCCTGGCCAAGAGTGGAGCTGTCTTCCTCTCAGGCTTGACCAGGGCCCTGGAGACACAACTGGAGGGAACTGTGAGAGCCCAGACCTCTCTGCCCCTCCCAGGTGACCATGGGCTGGATTAAGTGGGCGTGGGGACCAGGCAGTAAGACTGAGAGAAAGAGGAGGATTACCCAGGGTCCCACCCGTGGGTGGTGCCACAATGGGTGAGTCCACAGTGGGTGAGGTCACAGTGGGTGAGGACACAGTGGGTGAGGACACAGTGGGTGAGGTCACAGTGGGTGAGAACACAGTGGGTGAGGCACCAGTGGGTCTGCTGGTTCTGTGAGCAGTGCCTCCTGCCCATGCCTGTCACTGCAGAGTGGAAACACCCTGCTCTTTGATGCCTGGATCCAAGGAACTTCATGTCAGTGGCAACAGATTAAACAGAGCTCCGGAAGATTCATTAATTTATTTTTATTTATTTACTAGAAGCTCAGTGTGCATGAAATCGTTCTTGAGTAGCTCACTTCTGCTTGCCTCAGCTAGCTTCCCCGCCCATCGCCCCGCCCTCCACCACTTATAGCCCTCTGCCCCTAGTAGCTCTCTGCCCCACCCTGCCCGCCCCGAGAGCCTCGGCTCATTTGGTTATTACAGTGTGATGGTATGATGGCCACGGGCTTTTATTAATATAATTTTTTTAAATCCTCGCTCAAGGATATTTCACTATTGATTTTTTAGAGAAAGTGGAAGAGAGAGGGCAAGGCAGCGAGAAACACATAGGTTGTGAGAGAAACACATAGGTTGGTTGCCTCCTGCACCAGCCCAGACCAGGCCTGGGGCAGGGGAGGCCATTGCAACCAAGGTACATGCCCTTGACCATAATCAAACCTGGGACCCTTCAGTTTGCAGCCCGACGCTCTATCCATGGAGCAAACCGGCCCAGGCTATTTTATTTTTTATGATGAAGAGGAAACAAACTAGTGAATGAAACCCCTCTTTGGCCTATCCCTGCACATGTCTTTGGGGCTGCATTCTTGAGTTTAGTGAGTCCTGAGTTTAGTCAGTCCAGTAGTTCTGAGTGCTCCTGCTGGCCCTGAGCACCCCCTAGAGTCATGAGTGCCTGCAGCCCAGACCTGCTGCCTCCCTCACGGAGGTTTGTGTCTGGGCTCACACTGACTTCCGCTACAGTGTTTCTCAGACAGTAATATACAGCCATGTCCTTGGCTCTCAGGCTGTTCATTTGCAGATACAGCATGTTCTTGGCGTTGTCCCTGGAGATGCTGAATCGGCCCTTTACAGAATCGGCATAGTATGTGCTACCACCTGTATTAGTAATGAGTGAGACCCACTCCAGCCCCTTCCCTGGAGCCGAATGAAACCCCTCTTTGGCCTATCCCTGCACATGTCTTTGGGGCTGCATTCTTGAGTTTAGTGAGTCCTGAGTTTAGTCAGTCCAGTAGTTCTGAGTGCTCCTGCTGGCCCTGAGCACCCCCTAGAGTCATGAGTGCCTGCAGCCCAGACCTGCTGCCTCCCTCACGGAGGTTTGTGTCTGGGCTCACACTGACTTCCGCTACAGTGTTTCTCAGACAGTAATATACAGCCATGTCCTTGGCTCTCAGGCTGTTCATTTGCAGATACAGCATGTTCTTGGCGTTGTCCCTGGAGATGCTGAATCGGCCCTTTACAGAATCGGCATAGTATGTGCTACCACCTGTATTAGTAATGAGTGAGACCCACTCCAGCCCCTTCCCTGGAGCCTGGCGGACCCAACCCATCCAGTAGCTACTGAAGGTGAACCCAGAGGCTGCACAGGAGAGTCTCAGAGACCCCCCAGGCAGCACCAAGCCTCCCTCAGACTCCACCAGCTGCACCTCACACTGGACATCTGCAAACACAGAGACACAAGGTAGACTTAGAATCACATGGAAGCAACAGGCACAGGCACAGGCCTCAGAGCTCCCCTTCTCCTGAGAATGACCTTGAAGAATGATCAGGAGGAAAATGCAGCTTGGCACCAAGTCCATGGTGGAGCTGCTGGGGTCCTGTCTCAGGTACTTGGCTTCTGGATGTCTCCCCCTCATGCTGGGCAGGGCCCTCTTTAATGAGCAGTAGGAGAGCCCCATTTGCATGGAGTCTGCATATAAGGGTGCAGCTGGGACCCTGGGCTGCATGCCTGACCTTGTCATCCTAAGGGTGACCCCAGATGTAAAGGACTCAAGGATGCTGGACTCAAGGGGTCCCATCTGACCCACCCTTCCTCCCTCCTTTCTTAAGACACGGTCACCCTGACCCTATTCCTTTGGGGGCAGCTTTCAAGATTGAGAGTCCTCCATCATTGGGTTGTTGATGAGGACCCAGTGGTGCATGGATGGGGCTTCCTCTCCCTCTCCTTCACCCGCCGTGAACCATGTTGCCTTTCTAGGGGTTGGGAATAAGAACTTGCATTGGATGATGCTTTTATTTTGAGACTGAAAGACTCTCTTTGTTGTTTTTCCCATTCAGATCTTCTACAAAACTCAAGGATGTACATGTGATGAGGTAGGAGAGGCTGGGTGGATGCTGTGTCCACAGCCTCAGTCTGTAAACTGCTGTCCCTGTCACAGCTTGTAACTGCCTTTCCAAAACCACAGATTTCACTTAATGTCCCTGCTGTTCCTGTGCAAAAGTCCTGTTTTCCCAGCCTCTCAAACTGGGACAAGTTCCATCATTTAAAAATGGAGCCCTGGCTAGTGTTGTCCAGTGGTTTATACATTGGCCCGGGCATCACATGGTCTCACGCTCAATTCCCGGTCAAGGTTGCTGGTTCACTCCAGGTCCTGGTCAGGGTCATTGAGGAAGCAATCAATCCATGTGCCTCTTTCACATCAAGGTTTCTCTCCCTTCCCGCACCCCGCTCCTCTCTTCCACTCTCTCTCAGAAAAGTAATGGGAATAATATCCTTGGGTGAGAATAAAAAAAAAAAAGGAACATGTTGGCTTTTGGAAGCAAAACCCTGGGTAAAAATTCATGCACCAGTCGTCCTTGGGGGCAGATGATCCCCTCTCTTCTCAGTGGCAGAGGGGCCACCTGCAGGTCAGTCCTCAGCTCTTATTCTGGGGGCAGCCCCGTCCCACAGCTTTTATTGGAGCCAAACTGTCAACTGTTGGGGAGCAAGACCTTAAATGCCTGGAGAATAAATAGGTGCAGCTGCGTTTGTGCATTTGAAGTTAAGGCGGAAGGTGAGGAAGGTGACATGGAAGAGGAAGAGAGTGAGGAGGGGACTGGGTGACAGGACAGTTACCAGGAGGTGCTCTCCTGAGGGTGGTCATGCTGATGTCACAGGTGTGTCAACCCAGATGCACAGGAAGAATGGACGGGGTTGCTCAAGGGAAAGATGAGCCTTTTAGTAAAGAAGTTATAGGCCTGGGGCGGGCCCACCCCCAGGGCTGCCCAGGTAGGGATGTGTGATCAGAGCCCCTGGGAGGGTCCTTTCAGTACCTGGATTATGTCAGAATAAAGACAGAGCCCCTTTATGATCATAAATACAATCCCTAAAACTAGACATAGGAGAGGGCTTTCTGTGAGCTCTGTTGCTTGGAGCAAAACTATTTTAAGACAGAGCCAGAAATATTATCTTTGCTTAACTCTGCACCTGCTCCTGGTCCTGGTCCTGTGCTGGTCCTCAGCGCCCCCTGGTGTTCTCGACGCTCCCTGCAGCCCAGCCCTGCTGTCTCCCTCAGGGAGGTTTGTGTTTGGGCTCACACTGACTTCCCCTCACTGTGTCTCCTGCACAGTAATACACAGCCATGTCCTCGGTGGTCACGGACCTCAGCTGCAGGAAGAACTGGTTCTTGGACGTGTCTGGGTCGATGACTAACCAACTTTGGAGAGATGGCGCGTACTATCTGTATCACTTGGAACTGAAGTAGATCCTTCCCAGCCACTGGAGCGCTTTCCCTGGGGGCTGCCTGATCCAAGTGGCAGTGTTGCTGGAGACACTGTCCCCAGTGATGGCACAGGTGAGGGACAGGGTTTTCGAGGGCTGCACCATCATGGAGCCCGACTCCTGCAGCTGCACCTGAGACAGGACACCTGGGACAGAAGGAAGCAACAAGGTTAATCAGTCCACGTCTCTGTGAACACAGTTCTGAACGTCCAGGTCCCCAGACACTGACCCCAGGGGAGCCCCAGCATGGGAAGGAAGACAAGGAAGAAGACAGCCATGTCCCTGGGTCAGCCAGACTCAGCAGGCTCAGTGGCCCCAGTGGAGGCTGTATTTACACAGGAAGCCACGCCTGGCATTTGTCTAAGCATCACTTTCTGATATAAGGCCCCGGGTGCACACAGCCCACTGGAGCACCGACCCAGTTCTGCAACCAGATTTCTCCAGAGCCGGGTCCTTGGGCAGGTGGGACCCAAGGCAGGGGCCACAGACAAGGGTGCTCATACACGGGCCTGTAGGTGTGGCCATGTGGACCTTACACCAATTCTAAAGCCTGTTCACCCACATTAATTGATTGGACTTCATTTATTCATTCATTCATTCCACCAGCACTGATGGCCATTGACACACCAGCATCCCTCTCAGTAACAAGGGCCAATCATTGAAGAGACAGAGGCCCTACCCCCGTGTTCTGGGGTCACACGTCAGGTGCTTGTGTGTTAGACTCACACCATGTTCCCCCAGAGCTGGGCAGCTGGGGATCCTGGGAGCAGAGGGCACAGGTGAGCGTCCTCAGAGCAGGGGACCCACCAGGGAAGGACATAGGCCTGGGCTTTCGTTTTGCATCCTTATGAGGTACCTCACGCTGGGCACAGGGAATGTGGCTTGAAGACCTTCCCTAGGGGTTCCCAGGGCCCAGGGGCAGCTTTGGGAGCTGGATGGGGATCCTGGTGGGCGTGGGGCTAGGATGTGACCTTCAGGGACCGCCCCAGGGCCTCCTGGCTTCTCCTGGAGGTGCAGGGGGCTCGCAGAGAGGAAGCATCTTTTGTATTCAGAGATGACGTGATTATTCACATGGGAAATCCTAAAGAATCTGGAAAACCGACCCGGACACGACTTGATATATAAGCACCAACCAGTGGGAAAGTGTATCTGGAAAGAAAAACAACCACCACCACCCCCTGCGAGGCATAAACACAGAGAGAAAACACCTAAGGATCAACCTCAAACCTGATGCCCACGCTCTGTCCATGGAAAGTGATAACAAGTGGTCAGGAGCCCTGACGCGGGCATGACCCAGAGAAACCAACACGCTTTTTCAGCAAAAGGCTTCACACCATGTCCACACCCACCGTGTGAGGCCGCTGTCATTCTTTATTCAAAAACTGAGCTGTGTCTGAGCTCCATCATCATTCCTAGGGGAACATGCACATAGTCCTCCCTGGGCTTGGTACTAAGACAGGGTTTCCTCTTATGATTTCTCGCTTTTTTTAAAAAAAAAAATAAGATTTCTTTCTTTATTTATTTAGTTTTCTTCATCCTCACCCAAAGATATTTTCCCACTTATTTTTAGACAAAGTGGAAGGATGCAAGCGAGGTAGAGAGTTATTGGGGCACATTGAGTAGTTGCCTCCTGCAGGCACAGAACCAAGTTGCAACTGAGGACCGTGCCCTTGATAGGAATTGAACCAGGGCTCATGCTCTATGCACTGAGCCCCACGGGCTAGAGGCCCTTCCACCATGTCTAGTTAACACTGTGAGGCCCGAGCACAGTATGCAGGTCCTGTCAGATGGACCAACAGACCTGGGGTTGTCTGTGTTGCTGGGAGGATGGAGAGGCTCACAGAAGGGCAGCCCCAGGTGCCAGGGTACAGGGGTGCATGGGGAGCTGGGCTGGAACCTCTCTCCAGAGACTTAATGAGGAAGAACCACCCAGATCCCTCTCCTGCAGGCTGATGCTGGGCCTTGCTGTGGGGGACCCACCTGAAGCCAGATGACCATGAGGTTGAGGGAAACACAAACCTAAATTAGGAAAAAGTCCGTTTTCCCAGGTGCCAGGATAGAGCACCTTCAACATGCATGTAAGTTTCAATATCAGTTTAAAAGCTCACTGAGCACCTCCCAAGCTTTACACCCAGGTGTGTTTTCTGGGGACCTTGGAATGATCTCTGAAGTGTGACCACTAGGGGGACCCTCTCCCCACTTCTATGGGAGGCAGGGGACATCCAGACTTCAGGGGGCTCCTGGCTTCCAGGTGCAAACCTACTTCCTGTCCTAAAGAGGCTGGAGGTCTCATGTTCCCTGGGATCAGGTCAATGAGCAAACACATGTGGCCCCTCCAGTCACCAGGAGATTTAGGGTGAACTCTGGGTGACAAGTGGTGCTGCCAAGTTCCTCCTGAGGCTGCACCTCTGTGAAATGCTGTGTTTGTGTGGATGGTTTCCTACAAGACGTCCGTCCACTTTTCTGCTGCTTTGACAACCCCACATAGGCAACACCACTGCAGTTATGATAAGTCTCCAAATAGATCCATTTTTGTGTATTGAGCCATGACTTTGAAGTCGATTCCTTTGATTTTTCTTCATAGATAACTATGTCACGCATCAGTAGGGACACCTGGTATCTCCATTCACATTTGAATGTCTCTATGCATCTTTCTTGTCTTATTTCACTTGTTAAACATCAAGTGCAATGTTGAATAGAAGTGGTAAGAGGACCTTCTTGACTTTGTTCCCATCTGAGGGGGAATCATTTCCATTTTCACAATCGAGTATGATTTTAGCGACTGAAGTCCCATGATCAGATTGAGGAAGTGCCCTTTCATGCCAAGTTCCCTAAGCGTTTTTATCATGAATGAATGCTGTGCTTTGTCACACACTTTTCTATATCAGTTTTTATGACCATTTGAATTTTCTTCTTTACACAGTTGACTTGTTGGATTACATTGGTTGATGAAAAAATACTGAATTAGCTTTGAGTTGTTGGGATAATTCCTACTTTGTCATGAGGTAGTATGGTTTTCTTCTATTGCTGGTAGGGTTGGCTAATATTTTGTTGAGGATTTTAGTAAATATGTTAACAAGAGATTTCGGTTAGTAGTTTACCATTTCTTTGTACTGAGTACATAAAGAATGCCAGTCTCATAAGAATGCACTGGGG